TAAATTATTTTTATTAATTTTCTGCACCCGATAATCTTTTTTATCCGTAGGAAACCCCTCCATAATATAATTTCTATCCAATTTAAGAACTAATTCCACATTTTTTCTTCCTATTCCATCTTCTTGTTTCTGCCCGATAACTCTCCACCAATTATCTTACCACTTGAAGTGAATCTCACATTTGGAGAGTGAATGGATGTTGAAATGAATTTTTATTTTACATATTGACATAACAAATGGGGTTTTGAAAATATAAATGCATCATTTCAAGTTGTCAATCCGTTTAAGCGCGGGTGGGTGCATTTTATCGTTAAAATCCACAAGACCCACCCAATACCCACCCTTACATGATATACATGTTGCATGCACTTGAAAACCAAAATTAGCAAGAATTTGGTATATGATGCATACTATATTCGAAACTCGAGCTAGTGAGTAAATAGCCATACACTCTAATTCTCTAAACCCTAAGTTCTTATATCATTCATTTGGTACATCGAATATAAATTTATTAAATAAGAATCGTCGATCATTATTCTCAACGAATTTGAATTTTGGACTTTAAGTTTTGGAAATTATAATGTAGGTTTGCTTATTCAATTTGGAATATAATATAATATCAAAATTATATCATTTTCTAAATAATATAGTAGATGATATATCCCCACATTCACCTGCGGCAGCATAAAAGCCACCCTTATTTTAGTTTTATCATCTAGAGTCCTCGTTTTCCTTATTTGTAGAGACAAAACTCATGGTTTTCCTTTTGTGGTCCGCAACTTGAGCAATAATCCTGTCGTCTCCCTTTTTAGAATCCGTCGTTTTTCTTCCTCCATCAGTCTTTCATTCTTTCGGCTGTGTGTGTGTGTTTTTTTTTTGGTGACAGATTCCGCTTGTGGTTTTAGCAGCGCATATGAGTCAAATCAAATCAAACTCTATTTAAAAAAAAAAAAAAAAAAAGAGGATAACAGTCTAATCGCATTCACAAGCACAAACTTTTGAATATCGTCTTCGTCAATACCGTTCAAAGATAATCTTGGTTTTAACAGCCGACGATGGGATAGTTCTCGTTAGACCGCTAGCTTGCTAGGTTTTGGCATGCATGGAGTTCATTTGCATTTCGGCACTTTCATGATAATCGGGTGGAAATTTACTAGCTTCGAAATATGGCTTTATTATAAACAGAGTCATGGTTTTTCCTTCGTGAGATATGTAAGTGGACAAATGGTGGAGGACAAACCATCATAAAGATCCACGAGGGCTGAGAAAAAGGTGCGAGGGTCGATCGTGCAAAGGAAATGCCAAGTAGGAAAAAAGGAAGGAAAGAGTAGACCCCCGGAAAGGGCGGGGGGAAATGACACGTGGCGCCATTAAAAGAAGGAGATCTCATAATACGGTAACGTTAAGTCGTGATGGCATTGCCCACCTGGCAGCCCAACTGGCTAACTGGCAAAGAATAGGGTAGGGAACATGGGCACGGGGGAATTAATGCAGCTGCATGCTTTTTAATTTTTTTTTCTCCTTCTTTATTTGTCTCCATATTTCAATGTCACACTCTTAGTTCCTAAGTCTCAACAACATCACACTTCCTTATCTACATATCTATATATATGTCTATATACATAGGAATGGATTTTAATGTAGAGCTGTGGGTTGTGGGTGGGATGTGGTGTGGTGTGTCCCATTTTAAGGATCTGGCCGTGGCACAATATCAATATATTAGGGATGAACTTTATTGAGTATATGAGATGTAAAGTCTCTATCTATATAGCTCACTGATAATGGGGGATACTTGCTCTAAAGTTTGAATCATGGCCAACCAATGGTGGAGCCACAACAGCTCAAGTTGGGTCGGCTGCACCACCTTGGATTTGCAACTTACATGCAAATATTAGTAATATGTTGTGAAGAGAATTGTCGAACTGCTGATTAGAATTTATTAATAGTTATCGGAAGTTGTATACGAAAAGCCAGCGATAGGATATCTTATGGTGAAATTGTGGTTTCAATTATTTTATACCACTAAATAACGCCTATATCCTCTAGTAGGAGGTTTTTTTCTTTTTGTCGAACCGCTGATACAGTACGATTTCCCAATCCTTGGAAGAATTATTAACAAGTTCAGCTACAAGCCATTTATTTTATGTTTTAACATCTAATTTAGTTTAGTTTACATGAACCAAGAAACATCGACCTCGTCTGTCTTTTGTTACTCATCCCAATCCCTAATACGACATCGCCCCAAATTGTCACTGACCTACTTTCTTCTACTCACATACCACAATTTCGGAATTCTCACAAGGCACAACCTCAATCCATTAACTCTGTGAGCTCGTTGCTCTTGTCGTTCGATGTCACTATTGTATTCACCATCTCTTTAACAACAAGAAAATCTTATATTGCTTCTAGGAAAATGTCGCTTGTGACGTGAAGGCATTCCCCGACGTTTGGGTTAGGTTGTCGACAGTCGCTTGCACTTGCCGTTCACAGTGACATATATCATTGTTCGACTCACCTTAACAAAATTTCTAGCTACGCCACTATGGCCAACATGTTGCCCTTGGATTGTTTCATTCTCAATTGCGGCCGGGTATGGTGTTTCTATTCATTCATTTTCTTTACTTTCTCATAGTTAAACAAAGTCTTTGGCCTGCACGGCGCACATTTGTAATCTCGACCTAATTATCTAAGCAAAACGGTGTGCTAACTATGTAAATCAAGGGTAGTGATGGGCATACAAAAAAAATATGAAAAGGGACATTTAGGGAATCAAATTAAATATAAAACCATGATTTAATCTAATTGACTAGCTTCTTCTCCATTAAAAAAAAAATGTTGCGCATGGCATGTTATTATTCTTCTCTTGTGTGCCAAAAGCCTAGCTATATGTCCTTTTGCTACACAGTTGTGTCGAAAAGATCATTAGATGTGTTTGTTGAATGAATTGTTTATCTTGCTTGGATAAGAGCCCTCTCTCTAGCTAGGGTTCCATGTTTTAATTGCATAATCCCACACCATTGTAGTTATGTTGTACGTTAGATTTGACATGTGTGGCTCTCTCTCTCTACTTATAAACAAGAAACTAATTATTGTGTATCAGTGTATATCATCCTTAATTTAGTGATATATGAAATCAAGTTGAAAATGAACATCTATTAGATACCACTCACATTTAATAAAATAGCCAGGGGAAAGGTACATATATATTTGTAAGTTTTTCTAAGTCACTACTCCAGCCAGATAATAACAATTGTTATAAATTACAATTACAGATAAACAAATGGTACCCATAAAAAACAGAGGGTTAATTTAATTAATTGTGATACTGCAAAGTTTTGTTTTTTAGGGGACTTGCTCAATATTTCTTTATTACTTATGCTACAAAGGAGTCGGAGCATCTTTTCAATAACCAATTACGATCGATCGATCGATTGTGTACGCAAACTATTGACATTATTTCTTTATTCCTTTGAAAGGCATTTAATCCCCTTTGTTTTTATTTCCTCATAATGTACACGAAGTTTAAAAAAGAAATAATAATTCAATGTTTTGAATTCGGTTAAAACTTCACCCTCATCAGTTGTTTGTCTTTGGTCTAGATTCTGGAACTGGGGTTTGCTTTTCTAGACATTGATTTGTGTTTTTATAAGGAAAAGTAGACATCGTTTCAAGGTATTTCTTGGCCGTCTCACTATTCAACAGTGTACTTCACTTGACTTGAGTTGAGGCATAATTATACTTTCTCAATCTAATAATTAGTAACAGTTTTCTGGTTACAAAGGGCTGGTCACATAGAGGTACTAGCAGCTAGCTAGCTTCAGATATAGAAAAATGTTCATATGAATAACACATAGATAGTTTTAGAGAAGACTAGCAAGGCAATTGTAGTCTGTAGATGTATATTGAGAGGGTGAAACTTGCAATTGTATGTAACTAAAATTGACACTTTTTTGTTTGAGTGTGATTTATACTATTGTACATGCAGTCCAAATACAATTTCAGTAATAAGATAAGTATATGAAGTAATTAAAAATGTACACTGATAAAAGTGGGTTCCACTTGTATTTTTTACACAATTTCCAGTTTAAATGCACCGAATCAAACATTGTTTTCGCAAATAGATCTCACACAAACATATAGCATGCATATTAATTAAACAACCTGCAATTGATCCGAACAACATTAGCTTACAAATACATCACCCTTATGTCTGGCATAGTATGATTTTCATACCGATGTGTTTTCATTAAACTTGTGACGACATAGAGATAACATAAAAACTAGAAAACAAAAGTTTGCTCAGTTTGTCGCTCTAGAAAATGCTGAAAAATTAAAACACTAACATAAATTAACCGAGTTCCATTTTTTAGGGATGAGCACAATAATTTAGTTTGAATGTAATCAATTTTTCCATCAACTTCAAATTTATTGATAATGATATATTTTCATGTAACAAAAACACAATTTCAAGAAGAGGAAAGTATGACTCAATTTATAAAAAAAAAAATATTGATGTTGAAACTAAGACAAAAGTTAGAAAATAATAAGGAAGTAGTGTGGCTAGTGACTTATGAGAGAAGTGGGGGAGGAGAAAAATAGATGGAAATAATGTTCGGAATAAGGTTTTGAGTATGAGCTATGATCAGAAAATTTGGAGAAAACATGTAGAGAGTAGATATATAATGGAATTCGATTCATTAATTATTTTTAACAAAATAATCTGTTAGGAATTTCACCAGAAATACCTTTTAAAAACCGTTCGAAAGTCACTTAAAATAATTTCATCGACTCCTTTCTTGCCGAAAATACAAGTACGTGCTAGGTTGCTACTTGCTAGCACTCAATTAGTCAACTCACTTCGATTACAAAGCTCCTTAGGCACATATTTAACAATAAAAAGGGTTTTTCTCTTTATATAATGTTACTCTCACGACACGAGTTGATAACAACCATGCTGAAGTCACATATATATATAACATCGTTCAGGATAGACTCTTCACCTACAATATCATGTTCCTAGTTCTAGATAGATTTCTCATAATCTCTATTGTGTTTTCAACTCATGTTATCATAACAACAAATGAATCTAAACATACTTTCAATTTGTTTAATAAAATTATCATGAGAAGTTGTTGAAAATCGAATGCATTCACAACTATTATACTGTAACATTATAGTCCCATAATATCGCTACATTCAGGGGGCTGCAAGTGAGTCGAGCTAACTTTTGACCTCAATTGGGCTCAATTCGCTAACAAAAATGAGTTGTGCTCGGCTTTTTTTTTACTAACACCTTGATTTGTGTTTGACTCGAACTCAGCTAATTAGTGAGGTCATGAGCTCTACTTGAGTTGGGTCATACTGTTGAGCAAGCTCATAGCTCAAAACGAGCTAACTCACCAGTTGACCACAAACAAGCCACCGAATCTAACCGACGCACGAGCTCTACACGCCGAACAAGATATAGTTCACACTCGATGCGTTAGTAAACAAGTCGAGTTTCAAACGAGTTTTTTTCGAGACGAATATCGAACCACGATCGACTCTATATTCCCAATTTCCTTGTCATAAATTTTGGCAAGTAGCCCATGGGGATGAGATTACCATGCGAGAATGGAGAGAGAGAAAGGGTAGAGAACGTGGAGCGCCGGAGGAGAGAGAAAGAACGAAAGAAAGAGAAAGAGGCGTAGGATTGGAGAGGGACCCTTCCACCGCCCATAAGGTCATAAGCACGCAGACTCCCTCCCTCTTCCTTTTCTTTTTTTCCCCCTAACCAAAAACCCGAACCCATAAGATTTCGATCCAACCCTAAAAACCTCCTCCTTCCATCCACCAACCCCAAAACCATTCCCAACCCATAAAAAAAAAAAACTCCTCCCCGTCTCTTTCCCCTTTTCCTCCAAAGCTTTCTCCTCCTCCTCCTTCTACTTCTCTCTGAACTCTCACCAACACATCTCTCTCACTCTGAAAGCATGATTTCATAATCCCCCTCCCACCAGCAAAACCTCTACTCCATAGCTCCCCTCTTCTTCTAGCTAGCTAGCTACACCAAACCCCAACTTCAATCCCCGATCATCCAACTTCAGCTCATAATTTCCCGCTCCAGAACCTCTCTCAGCTCAAGATCCAACCCACCCAATTCAATCAGATGCTCCTCCTCCTCCTCCCTTACTTTCCCATTCCCACCCCCAAAGAACAGCTCTCTCTCTAATTAGCTTACACCAAACCCAAATCGGTAATTTCCTTCCCAACTCAAAAAATAAAAAAGAGAAAACAGAAAAGACACAGGGCGAAGAATGGATCCGGTAACGGCCCACGGCCATTCCCTGCCACCGCCGTTCCACACCCGAGACTTCCAGCTCCACCACCAATTCTCCCAACAGCACCTCCACCAACAACAACAACAGCAGCAACAACACCAACACCAGCAGCAGCAGCAGCAGAATTCGGAGGACGAGCAGAGCGGCAGCAGCAGCGGCCTCCACAACAAATCCTCCCACAAGCGTGAACGTGACGACAACTCCAACAACTCAAACCCCAACGACTCCAGCAAGGATCTCATGGCCTCCGCCGCCGCCGGAGAAGGCGAGATCACCCGCCGCCCCCGCGGCCGCCCCGCCGGCTCCAAGAACAAGCCCAAGCCGCCCATCATCATCACCCGCGACAGCGCCAACGCCCTCCGGACCCACCTCATGGAGGTCGCCGACGGCTGCGACATCGTCGAGTCCGTCGCCACCTTCGCCCGCCGCCGCCAGAGAGGTGTCTGCATCATGAGCGGGACCGGCACCGTCACCAACGTCACCCTCCGCCAGCCGGCCTCCCCGGGGGCCGTCGTCACCCTCCACGGCCGCTTCGAGATCCTCTCCCTCGCCGGCTCGTTCCTCCCGCCGCCGGCTCCGCCCGCGGCGACGGGGCTGACGATCTACCTCGCCGGAGGGCAGGGGCAGGTTGTCGGAGGAAGCGTGGTGGGGACGCTGACCGCCTCGGGACCCGTGGTGATCATGGCGGCGTCGTTTAGCAATGCCGCGTACGAGCGGCTGCCGCTCGAGGACGAGGACCCGCAGATGGCGGGGCAGGCTGGCCCGATTGGGTCGCCCGGCGGCGGCGGTGTGGGGTCCGCCGGTCCGCCACCTCAGCACCAGCAGCAACAACAGCAGCAGCAGCAACAGCAGGTTTTGGGTGGTGGCGGGTCGGGCGGCGACCCGAGTGGGGCTCCGTTGTTTCACGGGTTGCCGCCGAATCTGCTCAATTCGATTCAATTGCCCGCCGACGCGTACTGGGGCGGCAACGGTGGTGGCGGCGGCGGCGGGGGACGGCCTCCTTACTGATCGGGGGGAAGGCAAATTTCTTAAAACGCTCTCGTACTCTCGTTCCTGCTCGCGCCGTGAGGTTATGTAGATCGGTCAACCATCATCATCAGGGTGAGGAGTGGCTGACTTGAAAGAGAAGATTTGAGGTGATGAGGATGAAACGAAAAGGGGGAAAAAAAGGTTTCTTAATGTAGCTAATTTAAGTAGCATTTTCCTCTTCTCTCCTTCTCTTAATTTGCTCACTTGTTGTGGTAGAAGAAGAGGGATTTTAATCGTTTTTCTTATCTTTTCTGGGGTTTTTTTTTTGTTTTGATTTTGGAGGATTCATCAATTAGTTTCCCATTTCCCTAAACTTCTGCTAATTTTTCTCTGTTGATTGTTCTGACGATGATGATCATGAAGGGGTGGTGGTGGTGTTGTGTTTTTTTACTTATAATGTGCTCTCTTAATTAATTAGCTTGTTCATGCTTCTTCTTCTACTACTACAATGTGCATTGTCATTTTGATTTGCTGATGGCTCCTGATTTCTTGTTGTCGTTGTACTTGTGTTTTGTTGACGATTGTTAGGAAGAACTAGCGTAAATGCCTGCTGCTCACAAGCCTCTCGATAGCTCTTTCGATCTAAGTTTGGTGTTGATCTCGATAGCTCTATCGATCTAAGTTTAGTATCATTATGTTATTTATGGTTATAGATAGATAGATCTCGTTAACTATCAGTTCATGTAGTAGTACTATAAGTTAGTTAATTAGTCTCTTCTTCCTATCTTCCCCATCTATGAGAAACCAAAGAACATGAAAGCCAATGATATAGTTTATTAAACTTAGGATCAGTGTATCATTGTTGTTAGTCACATGAATGGGTAATTCGAAATCATTTCCCATATGTAGTCACTAAGCTAGAGCTCTAGCCATCCAAGTAGTTTGATATTAATAACAGACTAACGCCTCTTAGGAAACATCGATACTAATTTTTACGTTTACTGATGCATTGAATTGAATTGAATTGTCGCTATGCATAATTATGCCATTCATTTTTTCCGCGATTTTCGATCTCAGCAGCATGTCGGTTGTAACTTCCCCGCGAGCACGGTCTTTTAAGTAATGGTATGACCTTCATTTCAGACCATGAGATGTAAGGTAGCTAGGAAAGCAAAAACACATGGGGATGATGAGTTGGATGGATGGGTGGTGTATTGAACCTTAATTTGTTTGGCCAGGAAGTTGGGACGATGAAGTTTGCCCCACCTTTTTTTAAATGGTTTCTTTCTTTAGTTTCTTGGGGTGATGTAGAGGAAGGAAATGGGGGGGAGGGTGGGTCGTGGGTCAGAGTGATTGAACATAATTGGAGTGGGAGAAAGTTGAGGAAGAAGGTCAAAGGGGGGGATTGGATTGGGAAGGTTTCAATAAAAGCTGGCCCAAACAAAAGGTGAGGGTTTCAAGGAAGGCAAAGAAGGTGGTGGTGGTGGTGGTATGAGCAATGAACCCATTTACGAGGCTGAGGGAAATGGCAATGGAAGAGAAGAGAAGAGAAGGAGAGGATTGAGGCCAGAGGAAGAGGAAACCAAAGGCAGGCAGGTTGAGCATAATAAAGCATTGAGGTATGGGCTTGAATTTGCTATGTCTCCTCTCTCTCACTCACTCTTTTTCTAGGTGCTGGTGTGGGTTTTGTTTATGAATAAAAACAAAACCATTTTGAGAATTCATATCTTGGGAGGGAGTTGGTGGGTACTGGAGTTCTGGTCTACACGTGCACTGCTCTGAACTAGCTCCTTTTCGAGGCAAACACCATATTTCTAAAGCATATTTCTTTTAAATTTCCCATATCTAATTTTCATGGGGTGATATTAATGTTGTTCAATCTGCACTTCACTTTCCTTTTTTTCTTGTTTTGGATTCCACTTTCCCCCTATCCTCTTTTTTACCCCCTGGTCGCAACTCCCTGTTCCTTCCTTCCCTTCCTTCCTTGTCTTTCTGGGGAACTGACAAAAGAAGAACAGGCAGGGAAGCGGAGTAGATGGAGAGCAGGTGAAACTTAGAGAGAGAGATGACCGGCCCTATGACTTGACTTATTATAAGAGTCAGTGAGTGAGATCAGAGAGAAAGAGAGGTAGCTTGTGAATGTTGTTGAAATCTTTGCCCAAAACCCTTGTGTCAGATCTCTCTTTCTACTACTACTACATATGAAGATAGATCCAGAGCTAGCTAGCAAGCATAAAGTTTGGCATTCATTCCATTGCGCTGTGAAAACCCTAGCTCTTTTCATCTCCGGGCTTGTTTCTTTCTTTGATTCTACACAGCTAGCTAGCTATATATGCACCTACTTACTGTCAAGAACCAGTTAATCCCAATAACTCGAGTTGTTGGGAGTGGTTCAATCTCAACACTAACACGCCCCCTCAAACGAAAGCCACTCACAAGGGCTTGAAGTTTGCACAGGTCTGGAGACAAGAATACCATGTGCTTAACAAATGGGGGTCACCGGGAATCGAACACAAGACCTCTCGGTCACATAAGGCTCTGATACCATGTCAAGAACCAGTTAATCCCAATAACTCGAGTTGTTGGGAGAGGTTCAATCGTAGATCATATACCTCAACACTAACACTTACTCGCCTAGTTAAAATTAAGTAGGCCTTTTCCTGCCTCTGCATTCATACATAGGTAACGTGGAATGACAGATATGGTAATGAATAGCTAGCTAGTGCAACATTATTATTATCCATCATGAACTTTTGCTTAACAGGTGATTACTGCTAATGAAGGATCATCTTTTTTTTTTCTTTTTTTTTTTCAAGAAAGGGTATTAAAGGTAGGGTTAGACCACTTTTATGAACTGGGGAAGATTTCCCTCTCTTTCTGCACGTTTCCTGGGGTTGTGATGATGATAATTCGACCTAGCTAGCTGCTCTTGTTTCCCTTTTCTCTTCTCTCGAGTTTGCGATCCAGGAAACCGACGAAATGCATATGCATGCATGCGGCTACAGTACTAGTACTGTTTTCACGCTGCCCACAGATTCATCCTCAGATTGCATCCCCCTCTAAACAGTTGATATCATGGTGGTGCATATGGCCTTCAATTAACTGTTTAGTCATTTCGCATTGAGATGACAGGGTGGACATACATACGCGGCTGTGTGCTTAACAATATACTCATAATTTGATTTATTCGATTCTAATGGTAGAATAAATACATTCAAAAGAGCACAAGCCGAACGATTGATAGAAAAAGAGATGACCGCAAATGGCCAATATGATCGATCTAAAGCATAATCATGGATTAGGGTTAGATTATATTGGATAAGTACTATACATATTTATCATACTACTTTGTAATATGTAATCTCTTCAGATGTAGTGAAACTGGCTCTCCCTTGCCAGTGGATTAGCTAACACACGTTGTGTTAGTGAACCACATAAATCGCAGTGTTCTTTACTTTCTTACTGATCGTTACCTTTCTTGTTATTGTCGATTGCCTCGATCCTTGCATGACATACGAATACTGTTTTCTTTCATTATGTACACCAACGGACAGCATCGTTGCCATAGTTTGTACATTTGAAAGCTATGAAAAGAATGGATAGCAATTTGAAACGAATTTGGATTCACAAACCTAAGAACTAATTACTACTAGACATGATAAGACCAAAGGTGGGACACACAAAATCGAATAGGGTTTGAGATTTTGTATCAATATATCCTTGAATCTAGACGCTTAGAACTTTGGGAAAATGTCAAAGAAAAACCCAAACCGGAAATCCTTTGAATCTAGAAAAGCTTAAACTTTGGACGTTGGCTCCATTGTGAATATGATTCATCTAAAAGAGTAACGTTAGGTTTCAGACGAACCGGAAATCCGCTGCCAAAAACCATTTTTGACCTTAATAGTAACTTGTTGCGGTTAAGATGCATGTTCATTGACCAAAGATTAGGATGATGATGATGATGGCTTAAGCTTTGCCTCTAATTTGTCACGTCATGCTGCATTAATCAATCTAACAGTCTGTGGAAAAGGCATTCATATAAACGTGAAAAGCTCTTTCTGCAAATCCTCTAGTAGCTAGGTCTCCCATGGCCAGCCGCTTCCAGGTAACGACCTTCAAAAAGGGAGGGCCTGACCTTATCACGCTGCATATCAAACTCCAAGTTGTACTTCAGTTGACCAGCCAAACAAACGGAAAAGAAAACACGTGGAAAAAAAGAGCCCAAAACTCTGATGACATTTCTTTCAGATAATCCGATGGGCTTGAAAGTCCAATCTTCTAGGCCCATATACATTGGGCCTTTGTATTTGTAAGGAATGGATCAACTCCCCAGTGAGAAGATAACTTATTTGACAAAACAAACTCGAAAAATGGCCCACTAAGAGTAGACCAAAACAGCAACGTAATAGTAGGAACTCCTTCATTTTATTGGTGGGGGCTGGCCGTATACGGAACTCATCAAACTACAGTGAGTCCCAGCTTTTTCAGTTTTGCTTCCATGTAACTCTCGTTGTACTTGTCCATTGGAGTCACCAACGGCACCGTTTCAGCAATGGAGAAGCCATACTCTTCAAGCCCCTTATGGTCATTTGCAGCATTGTTTGATATCAGCTTGATTGTGTTAACCCCCAAATCCTTGAGTATCTGCAATTGTATAGTAGTGGTTCCAAATTCGGTAACGCGTAAGTTACGGTCAATTGGAGAGATTGTGGGTGGAGATACATATAGATACTCGAATAATGTCGTATTAGTGATGTCCCTCGACTACTACCGGAATAGACAAGAAGCTTTATTGGCTAGCTGTATAGGATTTACCTGTGCCACGACGGCGTACTCGTTATAGCCGATGTTGTCTCCTCCGTGTTTTTGGATATCATAGTTAGCAGGAAACTTGAACCCCAAGCTATTCTCTTTCCCTTTGTCGCCGCGGAGGTACACCAATACTCCTTGCTCGGCTTCCTCAATTTGCCTCATGGCATGCTCAAGATGACTTCCACACCCGCATATTGCAGACCCAAATATGTCGCCAGCAAGGCACTCGGGCTGTATCCTTACTAGCACACTTTTTCCGTCTCCAATTTCACCCTTAATTCATATACATATGATGAGCTTGTTAGAGCATGTTAATCATATTGTTGTCTATAATTGATACAAAATAAAATGCCTTATGATGGTCATATTAATAAAAGGTATTAATAATCACAACAAAAGTAAAGTAAAACTTTCTTACTTTCACCATAGCAATGTGCTCAACCCCATCCAATAGTGACTCGTAGCAATGTATTTTGAAGTTCCCCATTGTGGTGGGCATCCTTGCAGCCGCACTCAGCTTCACAGTTACTTCTCTTTTCTTCAAATATCTGCAGCATAATCAAAGCACAAAGTTAATTTGATGTTCTTACAGAATCGACGTAGAAACACGATAACATACATTAATATTTTAAATTCGAACGGTCGAGTTCGTGGGTTTCTTTGGAAGACCAATAAATCGAATTACCTGATCATATCAATGATGGAAACAATCTTCAAGTCATGTTCTTTGGCAAACTCTTTCAACCTCGGCAATCTAGCCATGGAGCCATCATCATCCACAATCTCACTCAGCACCGCCACAGGTTCGAGTCCAGCTAGGATTGCCAGATCAGCAGAAGCCTCCGTGTGGCCTGGTCTAGCTAGCACCCCTCTCTTCGTATACCTGAGAGGGAAGATGTGACCTGGCCGATTGAAGTCTTCAGGCGTCGACTTCTCCGAGGCAAGTGCCAGGATCGTGGTTGCCCTGTCTTCAGCTGATACACCCGTTGTCGTTCCATGTTTGGCATCCTTCCAAAACGACAACAGCAAGTGACTTAACATTCTAGCAACAAGGAAAACCACTAGATCGAACAACGTTAATTAAGTACAACATATACATACCACTGTGATGGTGAATGAGGTGCAGAGGATTTCCTTGTTGAGCTTTGGTGGTACCATCAATGGCAATTCCAGCCTCTCCAAATCGTCTTCCTTCATGCTGACGCAGACGATCCCAGTGCCGTGCTTGACGATGAAAGCCAGAGCTTCAGGGGTGGCCTTTGATGCCGCCATTATTAGGTCTCCTTCGTTCTCCCTCCCTTCATCATCCACCACAATTACCATCTGCAACATGTTCACTTATTACTTTTGTTCAATTCAACAGTTGTTAGGATTGGAGTTACCAGTTTCTTTTATTGAAGCCTCTGATACCATGTTGAAAATTGCCGATCAATGGCACATACTAACCTTGCCCTGGCGGATGTCTTCCACGGCCTCCTCGATGGAATTGAACCCATGAGTAGGAAGATCGAGATCATGGTGATTGTATGAATCGAGGTCATTGTTAGTGGCGGAGAAGAAACCGTTACTACTCTTTGTGGAAGTTAGCTTGGGCTGTCGAAGTTGTTGGCGAATGTAGCCATCTCCAAAAGTCAACGAGGCTCTAGTTACAGTGGCAGCTGATCTGGAAGCTTTTCTAGCGGGGACCAAAGTAACAAATTCCCTGAATCTGTGAATGTGAATGTGGGAGAAAAGAAGAAGAGAAGATTATAAAAGCCAACACATAAACAAAGAAAAGTATCGAGGAAAGCAATAAGCAGGGAATTAACAAGATTAACTGTGAATGTGGAGGAGCCAGAGGAAGGGAAGTGTGGACATGGACATGTGAACTTATCGCCATAGTATTTCTTCCTGCTTCTGCCGCGATAAATAACTCGAGTAATTGAAAGGATTGTCAGCAAATGATGATCGGTGCGATGGAAACTTAATCGATTCAAAGTAGATGGATTCTTATACAAAGGCAAGGAAGAAATGGTATATATGTGCTCTCACTCTCTCTGTCCCTGTCCTTGATCTGTGATAGCCAATGAATTTATATAGGTATTGTTGGTGGGGAGTAGTAAGATTGATCACAGCATGGTCCTGCACATGCAACGAAACAGTTGGATGATACAAAAAGGCTAGTGTGAGATACTGAAATATAATTGTTATATTGCAACTGTCAATTATTTTCTAGATTTCTGGTAATACTCTACTGCTCACCAATTTTCCAAATTAGAACTAGTTGCTCCAAAAGAAAACAGCATGGAACTTGTAGCAAATAGTTGCATGCTCTTCACCACAAAAACCAAATTTCTGTCACAGACAACACAGGCCCAAAAAAGAGTTGGTGGGCCGGCCAACCAATTTTAGCATCCGAATTCCTGATTAAATTGGGAAAATTTTATAATCAAGAACAAATTAAAGCATGAAATTTGCTTCACGAAAAATCGGCATGAATCAGGCAGTCCAATCAACTCTTCAGCTACTGGGTTGCATATCTGTTCTCATTAAGGAAGAAAATATGAACCAATTACACTAATAACGAAATCAACAATCTCGTTTGCCTATTTAGCCGTCTTGCAAAATCTCGGTTCATCACTTACCGGCAGTCGGAAAATGGGCGACGAAGGGGCGGAAAGCAACACCAACAACAACAGCTTGGACACGACGTCGTGGTCGGATTACATCGCCGAGCTGAAGATGCTGGGCCGAATAGCGGCGCCGATGATCCTCGTGGGGGCGTTACAGTACTTGCAGCAGACGGTGTCCATGGTCATCGTCGGCCACATCAGCCAGCTGGCGCTGACCACCGTGGCGATCGCCACCGCGCTTACCAACGTCACCGGGTTCAGCGTCCTGTACGGGATGACCGGCGGGCTGTCCACTCTCTGCGGGCAGGCCTACGGTGCGGGCCAGTACCCGAAGCTCGGGACCTACACCTACAGCGGCGTCATCTCCCTGGTCCTGGCCTGCCCGCCCATCTGCCTGCTTTGGGCCTTCACGGCCCACCTGCTCCGGCTCACGGGCCAGGACCCGGTGGTCTCGCAGCGGGCCCGCGACTTCTCGCTCTGGTCCATCCCGGCCCTGGTTGGGACGGCGGTGGTGGGGCCCCTGACGCGGTTCCTGCAGGCCCAGAGCGTGGTGGTGCCCATGCTGCTGACGTCGGCCGCGGCGTTTGGGCTGCACGTGCTGATGAGCTGGATCCTGGCGTACAAAGTCGGGATGGGGGACGTCAGCGTGGCGGTGGCGTTCGGGCTGGCCACGTGGCTGAACGCGGCGGCGCTGGGGCTGTACGTGAAGTGTTCGGCCAAGTTTAAGGAGACACGTGCGCCGTTCACGTGGGGTGCGTTACGTGGCATACCGGAGTTCTTCCAGCTCGGCGTCCCTGCAGCTGTCATGGTCTGGTAGGCTGCGCTTTTTTCACCCCCATCAAATGAAAGAAAATCAGCTTGTTGACTTCTTTGCTGACGTGTTTTCTTTGGGATTTGATTTACAGTCTGAAATGGTGGTCAATGGAGATATTGACTCTGCTTTCCGGCCATCTGCCCGATCCACGGTTGGAGACATCGGTGCTCTCAGTGAGGTATATTACATAGGTGCCTGATTTTTATATATTATTAGGATTAGTTGGTTGACAGGTAAATTATGTCGTATCGGATAAAATTGATTTTTGAATCGAGTCTATTCAGGATAAATTTAATTTCGAACTTGATTTTGCAGTGAATCATGCATGTTCTCAATCAATGTTAACATAGTTTGTTTTGTTTGTTGTATGGATTAATTCAACAGCCTTACCATCACAACATTGCACTTAACAATCCCTCTGGGGTTAGGAGTTGCAGTAAGGTAAAATCTTTCCACTCCATTCTCTCGAAATGATCATACCATAAATTCAGACATGATTTGAGGTTCTGATCTGATATATATATACATTATTGCAGTACTCGGGTGGCGAACGAGCTGGGAGCAGGGAACCCGAGATCAGCGAGGCTAGCAGTAGTTGTAGCAGTGTCCATTGCAGTAGTGGAAGCATCCATCGTCAGCATAGCTCTGTTCTGCGCAAGACATGTTGTGGGTTATGCTTTCAGCAGCGACCCACAAGTGGTGAGCCATATGTCGACTCTCATTCCTCTCATCTGCGTTTTCGTCGTCATGGACAGCCTCCAAGGCGTCCTCTCTGGTAATTTAACTAGTCCCTAAGCCATGGTATGGTAGAGCTGGACGACGATTCGACTGGTGAACGAAACACCAGCAGCTAACATCTTGTTGCATGAATGCCAGGGACAGCAACAGGGTGCGGGTGGCAGAAAGTAGGAGTGTACATGAACTTGGGAGCGTTCTACTTGGTTGGGCTCCCACTGGGATGCTCCCTTGGATTTGCGACTCGTCTACAAGGGAATGGGTTCTGGATTGGGATTGTGGCAGGGTCTGTGGTTCAGGCATTGCTTCTCTCTGTCTTCACCTGTTTCTTGGACTGGAATAAACAGGTAGATAAAAACTACTGTTTTTTCTTCCTTTCATTCTCCGCTTTGTGCAGTTCCCATGTTCAGTAAGCTATTGTTAAGTTGGTAATAAAGCGAATGCGGTATTGCTATTGTTGTTTCAGGCAAGCAAGGCTAGAGAGAGGGTAACTACTGGTAGCAGCAGTCACTAACATTTCTCACCAGGATTCATGGTTGCCTACTTTTAACCTGCTAGTTCAGTTTGGTTTACTGGTATTTAACTAGGTTTCATTTTCCTCGCACAATGATTGAATTCGGAGGATTGTACGGAGAAATGGGCAAGAGGTGATTATAATTAAAGCCAAGAGTAATCAAGATACTACAATGAGTAGTTAACACCAGAGATAAACCCTTTTCTCATATCTTCCATGCAGTTGGTAATGACTTAGTAGAACCTAATACTACACCCATATACAAAAGCCACATTAACGTTCATACTATGCACAAAGCCACAAACTGGACTGTTCACTCTAGGTAGATGAGATTTCTTAAACAAATCACAAGAAAACTATAAGAAAAAGCGAGCAAGGAGCTTTCCTATATACTTAAATGAAATCATCTGCCTGTCCATTCAAGACCTAAGAAGACCAACAATAGCAAAAGTAAATAAATAAATAAATGCCTAACCTAGCCGCCTCATTTCTGCTTGAAAACTGTGACTGCTGGTTAGGGTTCTATGGGCAAGAGACCTTATGTCTTCCCGGGGACAGTCTCGCGAGATGCGAACCATTTCCCAAACAGCACCTCCGTTGATCATGTCTCTCGCATTTGCTTCTGTATATAATCCAGTTTCCAACATATTTTAATCTCCATAACTGATAAAGATCGGGGAAATGGAAGAAAAATGTTTTTGAAACTTACCATGCTGTGCTAAGTGGCACAATGCAAGTTCGATGTGGCGCCTAACTGAAGCGGCTTCGTTGTTAGCGTTTTGTACGATCCATGGAAGTGCTCCGTCTTCTATCAAAAGGGATCTTCCTGCCTTGACTCCTGCTATGACATGTGAATTAATTACATAGGCAGCCCTCTACAAGATATGGTTTCAATAGAGTGTGAAGTATCCTTGCAAAGTTTATTACCTTGAGCGGATGCCCTTGATTCACATTTGGCGAAATTAGCAATACCCCTGGCAACTTGTGAAAGAACATCTGGATGCCGGCATCTCACCATTCCAAGCAAGGCCTTGATACCACCTTCACCTCTCAACTTCATTTGCAATTTATCTGGATCATCAAACATAATAGTGCAACAAGTTCACATAAAAGAACCCAAAAAATGACCACTATTGAGAAAGCCAGAGGAGATCTTTTTACCGTTGCCACAAAGGTTGGCGATGGCTCCAGCTACCATGCGAAGTGTTTGAGGATCCTCTGCACTGGAAGCGGTATTTGATAACAAGCGGACACCACCTTGAGCCATTATCAACTCCTGGTTGGTTTCTGCTTGTAAAAAACTCAAAAGTGTTAACAATGGAATATGTGGAAAAAGAGCATCTGGAAAAACAATTCGATAGAATTCTGATTCGGAAGAACTTACCACTCATTGCAAGATTAGCGATGGCGCCTGCTGCCACTCGGTGTATGGTCTCGTCTTCCGAACTTATGAGAAGCTTTAACAGAGATGTTAGGCCCCCAGCTTCCACGATCTTCTCTTGGTTCGCTTCTGCTTTTATTAGTGCAAAACTCTCCATCAGTACAAGCACATAAATTAACAGAGAAATCACAACAGCATTACAAATTGGTGACAAAGCAATTCCTTCTATGATACCATGTTTAATAATTTCAGCTCGAAGGTTGATGAGTACAAAAATAGAGTCGTATCGTAAAAATTGCAGCAAATCCATGAACACTTAATTGAATCAGCAAAAAACCAGAACACCTGTCCTAAGCATTCTTTGCGTTTCCATTTTAAAATAGTGAAGAAACAAACTAATTCACTCAAAATATGAAGACTGTTATTAATCAGTCATTTACTGCACTACCATGTATCAATAACGTATTCCCTAGTCGTTTGGGTCCGTAATTCCTAGTCAAGAAGCAAACAATCCCTCAAGATGAGAGAAGAAAGTGTGAGAGGACAAAGATACCTTCAGCCGCAAGATTTGCGACCACTTTCACTGCATGTATTCGAACATCAGCATCTTCCGCTTCAAGCAACGACAATATCTTGTGCAGTCCCACTTAAACAAAGAGATTATGGGTTGGTAAGTAAACAAGTGAAGAAGATCCATAGTACTATCAAAGAACACAAGTAATACCAAGTGGCTAGGTATATGACAATCACCTTGCTCAAATAGTTTAGCTACTGACTCTTTATCTCCCGTTTCTGAATTGTCACTCTGTGGTTGCCTGGATTGATGCAATATAGATTGCATTACCTAACCATTACTCGACCTGAGATTACCTTTGCTGTACAACAGCTTTGCCAGTATCAAGCAGCCCCCACAGTCACACACTTACAGCTTGCATACAGGATTCTCAAATATCTCAAAAAGGCTCCAGGTCAAGGTTTATTGCATTACCTTTGGTTCGTCTTTGATTATATGGAAATCCAAGAAACAAAGTACTGTTTCCAGGTCATCATCTGAAGCTGAGTATAGGGCTCTTGCTCAGCTAACCTGTGAAATAGTTTGGGTGAAGAGATTGTTACAGGAACTTGGTATAGAACATCCTCAACCTGTGAATCTCTTCTGTGACAGTCGGTCCGCTATATACATTGCTGAAAATCCAGTGTTCCACGAGAGAACAAAGCATATAGAGATCGACTGTCATGTTGTCAGACAGTACCTCCAATCGAAGCTAATTGGACTGAGTCACCTTGAAACTGAAAACCAGATAGCTGACCTGTTTACAAAGGGACTCAGCCGCTTTAGACTTGATTACTTGCTATCCAAGCTGAACATACAGAACTTGTATGCATCAGCTTGAGGGAGGGTATTGAAGATGCTTGTGTATATGGACTCCAGCACTGCAGAGCTCGTGGGACGATGACGTTTCTCCCTCAGAAGCAAGTGATGAGCTGAGTAGAGTACGATGTCGTCTTAGGCAGTGTAGAGTTAGTTTTCCGATTTTACTGTATAGTTTACGTGTTCATTTTTGGTTGGTAGATAGAACTTTTCTGTTTTGTTACCGTTGGTAACTTTCATCTCCTTCGTTGAGAAGGTTTGTCAGGGTATATATGCAAGGCCTCTGAGCCACAAGGTTCCTGCGGGTTCCTTTACCATTTTCTGTTACCTAATTTCATAAGCTATGAAAAGAATGGATAGCAATTTGAAACGAATTTGGATTCACAAACCTAAGAACTAATTACTACTAGACATGATAAGACCAAAGGTGGGACACACAAAATCGAATAGGGTTTGAGATTTTGTATCAATATATCCTTGAATCTAGACGCTTAGAACTTTGGGAAAATGTCAAAGAAAAACCCAAACCGGAAATCCTTTGAATCTAGAAAAGCTTAAACTTTGGACGTTGGCTCCATTGTGAATATGATTCATCTAAAAGAGTAACGTTAGGTTTCAGACGAACCGGAAATCCGCTGCCAAAAACCATTTTTGACCTTAATAGTAACTTGTTGCGGTTAAGATGCATGTTCATTGACCAAAGATTAGGATGATGATGATGATGGCTTAAGCTTTGCCTCTAATTTGTCACGTCATGCTGCATTAATCAATCTAACAGTCTGTGGAAAAGGCATTCATATAAACGTGAAAAGCTCTTTCTGCAAATCCTCTAGTAGCTAGGTCTCCCATGGCCAGCCGCTTCCAGGTAACGACCTTCAAAAAGGGAGGGCCTGACCTTATCACGCTGCATATCAAACTCCAAGTTGTACTTCAGTTGACCAGCCAAACAAACGGAAAAGAAAACACGTGGAAAAAAAGAGCCCAAAACTCTGATGACATTTCTTTCAGATAATCCGATGGGCTTGAAAGTCCAATCTTCTAGGCCCATATACATTGGGCCTTTGTATTTGTAAGGAATGGATCAACTCCCCAGTGAGAAGATAACTTATTTGACAAAACAAACTCGAAAAATGGCCCACTAAGAGTAGACCAAAACAGCAACGTAATAGTAGGAACTCCTTCATTTTATTGGTGGGGGCTGGCCGTATACGGAACTCATCAAACTACAGTGAGTCCCAGCTTTTTCAGTTTTGCTTCCATGTAACTCTCGTTGTACTTGTCCATTGGAGTCACCAACGGCACCGTTTCAGCAATGGAGAAGCCATACTCTTCAAGCCCCTTATGGTCATTTGCAGCATTGTTTGATATCAGCTTGATTGTGTTAACCCCCAAATCCTTGAGTATCTGCAATTGTATAGTAGTGGTTCCAAATTCGGTAACGCGTAAGTTACGGTCAATTGGAGAGATTGTGGGTGGAGATACATATAGATACTCGAATAATGTCGTATTAGTGATGTCCCTCGACTACTACCGGAATAGACAAGAAGCTTTATTGGCTAGCTGTATAGGATTTACCTGTGCCACGACGGCGTACTCGTTATAGCCGATGTTGTCTCCTCCGTGTTTTTGGATATCATAGTTAGCAGGAAACTTGAACCCCAAGCTATTCTCTTTCCCTTTGTCGCCGCGGAGGTACACCAATACTCCTTGCTCGGCTTCCTCAATTTGCCTCATGGCATGCTCAAGATGACTTCCACACCCGCATCATTTGACCTTGTAATGTGAGCTACAAGGTCATGGCTAAGTGTCTGGCGAACCGGCTCAAGAAGTTTATGCCCCAGCTTATCGACCCGAGCCAGTCAAGCTTTGTCCCAAAGAGACATATCACAGATAACATCATCATCTTGCAGGAAGTGGTTCACACTATGTCTCTCACGAAGGGGGTCAAAGGTCAAATGATTCTTAAAATTGACCTGGCCAAAGCTTATGATAGGATTAATTGGAAGTTCCTAGAATCAACCTTGCAGGCGGCCGGTCTCCCTGATGATTTCGTCAAATTGGTTATGGCTTGTGTGACGACTGTTCGCTTTCAGGTGCTTTGGAATGGTGGTTGTACTGAACCTTTCCAACCTACTAGGGGTCTTCGGCAGGGATGTCCTCTTTCTCCTTATCTCTTTACTTTATGCATTGAAAGATTAAATCACTGCATCAAGGACTCAGTTGATAGGAAAGCTTGGAGACCTATTACTCTGTCCAAGGATGGCCCTGCACTGACTCACCTATTTTTTGCAGATGATTTGGTCTTATTTGCGGAGGCGGATCTAAAGCAAGGAGAAGAAGTCCTAACCTGCCTCAACCGGTTTTGTGAGGCCTCGGGGGAACAAGTTAGCAAAGACAAGTCATGTGTCTTCTTCTCGAAAAACACCATGGAGAGTGTGAAGAAACGTATAAGCGACATGTTGGGAATCAAGCAAACCAACAACCTAGGGCGCTACTTGGGTGTTCCGGTCATCCACGGCAGAGTCTCCAAAGACACCTACAAGTTCATTTTGGAGAAGATTGATCAGCGGCTCTCGGGTTGGAAGGCGAGGAGTCTCTCTCTGGCAGGGAGAGTCACCTTGGCGACCTCGGTTCTTAATGCCCTCCCGAACTATGTTATGCAAACGGCGGTGCTTCCTGTCTCTGTTTGCGACACCATTGATAGGAAAGTGAGAGCTTTTATATGGGGAGCAGAAGACGGAGCCTCCAAGACTCATTTGGTTAATTGGGAAACCATATGTAAACCAAAGGAGCTTGGCGGCCTGGGCATGCGATCTGCTAGAGCTCTCAACTTATCCTACATTATGAAGCTCGGATGGGCTTTCCTGAACAAGTCGGAGGAGCTTTGGATCCGTGTCCTGCAAGGAAAGTACTTCAAAGTCAACGATGCAGGGGCGTTGGTTATGAAGAAAAGTAACCACTCAAGGCTTTGGAAAGGAATTGTTGATACTTGGCCTATCCTTAAACAGCAAGTTGTGTGGGACATTCGAGAAGGTCACAATGTCCAATTTTGGATGGATCCTTGGCTTGCCGAGGGAACGATCTTGAGTGAGCATATCATAGGCAATGGCGAGGGAATCAACTGGCATGCCACCGTTGCTGAGATGGTTACCATTGAAGGTGAGTGGAAGTGGGAGGATTTGGCGCCTCACCTGACTCAGAATTTGCTTGCCTTGATTGCAGGTACGGACCCTCCCAGGCCGGGATTGGGCGAAGACATTACTGCGTGGGGTATGGAGCCAGACGGAAAGTTCAAGCTGCGTTCAGCTTATTCCGCGGCTGTAGAATGGTTGAGCGACGAGGAGTGGGAGACGGAGGAGGCGAACAATCACCACCACTGGAAGCGACTCTGGAAATGGGCGGGCCCGAACCGTATTAAACATTTTTTGTGGTTGGTTTTTCATGACAGGCTAATGACGAATGCCCAGCGCAAGAGGAGGAAACTGACGACGGACGATACATGCCCGATGTGCAGAAACGGACCGGAAACTACCGAACACATTATGCGCCACTGTTCGGGTTCAATACAGGTATGGCATAGGTTGGGTATTCAGGAGACAACTCTAACTTGCGGCCTTGGGTTTGCAGATTGGTTTGATGAACATCTCAAGAGAGATCAAGAAGGGCTTTTGTTTGGAGTGGCAGCTTGGTATCTATGGAAAAGACGCAATGAGAAGGTCTTTCACAACCTGACCCAGGAGGATCAGGTCTTGGCGCAACGCATTGGATGTTGGACGTCAACTATCAGGCAAGCCCAGGAAAATGACACTGCTTCACATAAAGAAGCAACCAGGAAGACTACTCAAAAGCTCGCTTGGAGTCCGCCACCACAGGATTGGATGTGTGTCAATACCGACGGTTCAGAGAAGCAGCCAGGATCGGAAGCAGCAGGGGGTGGGATCATCCGGGACTGGATGGGGAAATGTATGGGTGCCTTTGTGGAAAACCTCGGTGTATGTACGATTACCCGAGCGGAGATTATGGCGGCCATTCGAGGCTTGCAAATGGCGTGGAAGAACGGGTACAGGAAAGTCCTCCTCCAATTGGATTCTACTACTGCCATCAACATCCTTACCTCGCAGGATCAAATAGAGCACAGGTACCATAATCTGGTTCTTCAGTTTCAGAGATTGCTTCAGCAGAACTGGGAAGTCAAAATTTCCCACATTTATAGAGAAGGTAACAAAGTGGCAGACTTTCTAGCTAATAAAGGCCACTCAGCTAGTATAGGTTTCCATATTTTTGAAAGTGCAGACCCGGGTCTGAACTTCTGGATTTTGTATGACGTTTTGGGGATTACCCAAAACCGGTTAATTTAAGTATCAGGCAGGGGCGCCCTTTTAGCGTCCCATTTTCTACCAAAAAAAGAAAAAAAAAGAGATAAACCCTTTTCTCATATCTTCCATGCAGTTGGTAATGACTTAGTAGAACCTAATACTACACCCATATACAAAAGCAACATTAACGTTCATACTATGCACAAAGCCACAAACTGGACTGTTCACTCTAGGTAGATGAGATTTCTTAAACAAATCACAAGAAAACTATAAGAAAAAGCGAGCAAGGAGCTTTCCTATATACTTAAATGAAATCATCTGCCTGTCCATTCAAGACCTAAGAAGACCAACAATAGCAAAAGTAAATAAATAAATAAATGCCTAACCTAGCCGCCTCATTTCTGCTTGAAAACTGTGACTGCTGGTTAGGGTTCTATGGGCAAGAGACCTTATGTCTTCCCGGGGACAGTCTCGCGAGATGCGAACCATTTCCCAAACAGCACCTCCGTTGATCATGTCTCTCGCATTTGCTTCTGTATATAATCCAGTTTCCAACATATTTTAATCTCCATAACTGATAAAGATCGGGGAAATGGAAGAAAAATGTTTTTGAAACTTACCATGCTGTGCTAAGTGGCACAATGCAAGTTCGATGTGGCGCCTAACTGAAGCGGCTTCGTTGTTAGCGTTTTGTACGATCCATGGAAGTGCTCCGTCTTCTATCAAAAGGGATCTTCCTGCCTTGACTCCTGCTATGACATGTGAATTAATTACATAGGCAGCCCTCTACAAGATATGGTTTCAATAGAGTGTGAAGTATCCTTGCAAAGTTTATTACCTTGAGCGGATGCCCTTGATTCACATTTGGCGAAATTAGCAATACCCCTGGCAACTTGTGAAAGAACATCTGGATGCCGGCATCTCACCATTCCAAGCAAGGCCTTGATACCACCTTCACCTCTCAACTTCATTTGCAATTTATCTGGATCATCAAACATAATAGTGCAACAAGTTCACATAAAAGAACCCAAAAAATGACCACTATTGAGAAAGCCAGACAAGATCTTTTTACCGTTGCCACAAAGGTTGGCGATGGCTCCAGCTACCATGCGAAGTGTTTGAGGATCCTCTGCACTGGAAGCGGTATTTGATAACAAGCGGACACCACCTTGAGCCATTATCAACTCCTGGTTGGTTTCTGCTTGTAAAAAACTCAAAAGTGTTAACAATGGAATATGTGGAAAAAGAGCATCTGGAAAAACAATTCGATAGAATTCTGATTCGGAAGAACTTACCACTCATTGCAAGATTAGCGATGGCGCCTGCTGCCACTCGGTGTATGGTCTCGTCTTCCGAACTTATGAGAAGCTTTAACAGAGATGTTAGGCCCCCAGCTTCCACGATCTTCTCTTGGTTCGCTTCTGCTTTTATTAGTGCAAAACTCTCCATCAGTACAAGCACATAAATTAACAGAGAAATCACAACAGCATTACAAATTGGTGACAAAGCAATTCCTTCTATGATACCATGTTTAATAATTTCAGCTCGAAGGTTGATGAGTACAAAAATAGAGTCGTATCGTAAAAATTGCAGCAAATCCATGAACACTTAATTGAATCAGCAAAAAACCAGAACACCTGTCCTAAGCATTCTTTGCGTTTCCATTTTAAAATAGTGAAGAAACAAACTAATTCACTCAAAATATGAAGACTGTTATTAATCAGTCATTTACTGCACTACCATGTATCAATAACGTATTCCCTAGTCGTTTGGGTCCGTAATTCCTAGTCAAGAAGCAAACAATCCCTCAAGATGAGAGAAGAAAGTGTGAGAGGACAAAGATACCTTCAGCCGCAAGATTTGCGACCACTTTCACTGCATGTATTCGAACATCAGCATCTTCCGCTTCAAGCAACGACAATATCTTGTGCAGTCCCACTTAAACAAAGAGATTATGGGTTGGTAAGTAAACAAGTGAAGAAGATCCATAGTACTATCAAAGAACACAAGTAATACCAAGTGGCTAGGTATATGACAATCACCTTGCTCAAATAGTTTAGCTACTGACTCTTTATCTCCCGTTTCTGAATTGTCACTCTGTGGTTGCCTGGATTGATGCAATATAGATTGCATTACCTAACCATTACTCGACCTGAGATTACCTTTGCTGTACAACAGCTTTGCCAGTATCAAGCAGCCCCCACAGTCACACACTTACAGCTTGCATACAGGATTCTCAAATATCTCAAAAAGGCTCCAGGTCAAGGTTTATTGCATTACCTTTGGTTCGTCTTTGATTATATGGAAATCCAAGAAACAAAGTACTGTTTCCAGGTCATCATCTGAAGCTGAGTATAGGGCTCTTGCTCAGCTAACCTGTGAAATAGTTTGGGTGAAGAGATTGTTACAGGAACTTGGTATAGAACATCCTCAACCTGTGAATCTCTTCTGTGACAGTCGGTCCGCTATATACATTGCTGAAAATCCAGTGTTCCACGAGAGAACAAAGCATATAGAGATCGACTGTCATGTTGTCAGACAGTACCTCCAATCGAAGCTAATTGGACTGAGTCACCTTGAAACTGAAAACCAGATAGCTGACCTGTTTACAAAGGGACTCAGCCGCTTTAGACTTGATTACTTGCTATCCAAGCTGAACATACAGAACTTGTATGCATCAGCTTGAGGGAGGGTATTGAAGATGCTTGTGTATATGGACTCCAGCACTGCAGAGCTCGTGGGACGATGACGTTTCTCCCTCAGAAGCAAGTGATGAGCTGAGTAGAGTACGATGTCGTCTTAGGCAGTGTAGAGTTAGTTTTCCGATTTTACTGTATAGTTTACGTGTTCATTTTTGGTTGGTAGATAGAACTTTTCTGTTTTGTTACCGTTGGTAACTTTCATCTCCTTCGTTGAGAAGGTTTGTCAGGGTATATATGCAAGGCCTCTGAGCCACAAGGTTCCTGCGGGTTCCTTTACCATTTTCTGTTACCTAATTTCATAAGCTATGAAAAGAATGGATAGCAATTTGAAACGAATTTGGATTCACAAACCTAAGAACTAATTACTACTAGACATGATAAGACCAAAGGTGGGACACACAAAATCGAATAGGGTTTGAGATTTTGTATCAATATATCCTTGAATCTAGACGCTTAGAACTTTGGGAAAATGTCAAAGAAAAACCCAAACCGGAAATCCTTTGAATCTAGAAAAGCTTAAACTTTGGACGTTGGCTCCATTGTGAATATGATTCATCTAAAAGAGTAACGTTAGGTTTCAGACGAACCGGAAATCCGCTGCCAAAAACCATTTTTGACCTTAATAGTAACTTGTTGCGGTTAAGATGCATGTTCATTGACCAAAGATTAGGATGATGATGATGATGGCTTAAGCTTTGCCTCTAATTTGTCACGTCATGCTGCATTAATCAATCTAACAGTCTGTGGAAAAGGCATTCATATAAACGTGAAAAGCTCTTTCTGCAAATCCTCTAGTAGCTAGGTCTCCCATGGCCAGCCGCTTCCAGGTAACGACCTTCAAAAAGGGAGGGCCTGACCTTATCACGCTGCATATCAAACTCCAAGTTGTACTTCAGTTGACCAGCCAAACAAACGGAAAAGAAAACACGTGGAAAAAAAGAGCCCAAAACTCTGATGACATTTCTTTCAGATAATCCGATGGGCTTGAAAGTCCAATCTTCTAGGCCCATATACATTGGGCCTTTGTATTTGTAAGGAATGGATCAACTCCCCAGTGAGAAGATAACTTATTTGACAAAACAAACTCGAAAAATGGCCCACTAAGAGTAGACCAAAACAGCAACGTAATAGTAGGAACTCCTTCATTTTATTGGTGGGGGCTGGCCGTATACGGAACTCATCAAACTACAGTGAGTCCCAGCTTTTTCAGTTTTGCTTCCATGTAACTCTCGTTGTACTTGTCCATTGGAGTCACCAACGGCACCGTTTCAGCAATGGAGAAGCCATACTCTTCAAGCCCCTTATGGTCATTTGCAGCATTGTTTGATATCAGCTTGATTGTGTTAACCCCCAAATCCTTGAGTATCTGCAATTGTATAGTAGTGGTTCCAAATTCGGTAACGCGTAAGTTACGGTCAATTGGAGAGATTGTGGGTGGAGATACATATAGATACTCGAATAATGTCGTATTAGTGATGTCCCTCGACTACTACCGGAATAGACAAGAAGCTTTATTGGCTAGCTGTATAGGATTTACCTGTGCCACGACGGCGTACTCGTTATAGCCGATGTTGTCTCCTCCGTGTTTTTGGATATCATAGTTAGCAGGAAACTTGAACCCCAAGCTATTCTCTTTCCCTTTGTCGCCGCGGAGGTACACCAATACTCCTTGCTCGGCTTCCTCAATTTGCCTCATGGCATGCTCAAGATGACTTCCACACCCGCATCATTTGACCTTGTAATGTGAGCTACAAGGTCATGGCTAAGTGTCTGGCGAACCGGCTCAAGAAGTTTATGCCCCAGCTTATCGACCCGAGCCAGTCAAGCTTTGTCCCAAAGAGACATATCACAGATAACATCATCATCTTGCAGGAAGTGGTTCACACTATGTCTCTCACGAAGGGGGTCAAAGGTCAAATGATTCTTAAAATTGACCTGGCCAAAGCTTATGATAGGATTAATTGGAAGTTCCTAGAATCAACCTTGCAGGCGGCCGGTCTCCCTGATGATTTCGTCAAATTGGTTATGGCTTGTGTGACGACTGTTCGCTTTCAGGTGCTTTGGAATGGTGGTTGTACTGAACCTTTCCAACCTACTAGGGGTCTTCGGCAGGGATGTCCTCTTTCTCCTTATCTCTTTACTTTATGCATTGAAAGATTAAATCACTGCATCAAGGACTCAGTTGATAGGAAAGCTTGGAGACCTATTACTCTGTCCAAGGATGGCCCTGCACTGACTCACCTATTTTTTGCAGATGATTTGGTCTTATTTGCGGAGGCGGATCTAAAGCAAGGAGAAGAAGTCCTAACCTGCCTCAACCGGTTTTGTGAGGCCTCGGGGGAACAAGTTAGCAAAGACAAGTCATGTGTCTTCTTCTCGAAAAACACCATGGAGAGTGTGAAGAAACGTATAAGCGACATGTTGGGAATCAAGCAAACCAACAACCTAGGGCGCTACTTGGGTGTTCCGGTCATCCACGGCAGAGTCTCCAAAGACACCTACAAGTTCATTTTGGAGAAGATTGATCAGCGGCTCTCGGGTTGGAAGGCGAGGAGTCTCTCTCTGGCAGGGAGAGTCACCTTGGCGACCTCGGTTCTTAATGCCCTCCCGAACTATGTTATGCAAACGGCGGTGCTTCCTGTCTCTGTTTGCGACACCATTGATAGGAAAGTGAGAGCTTTTATATGGGGAGCAGAAGACGGAGCCTCCAAGACTCATTTGGTTAATTGGGAAACCATATGTAAACCAAAGGAGCTTGGCGGCCTGGGCATGCGATCTGCTAGAGCTCTCAACTTATCCTACATTATGAAGCTCGGATGGGCTTTCCTGAACAAGTCGGAGGAGCTTTGGATCCGTGTCCTGCAAGGAAAGTACTTCAAAGTCAACGATGCAGGGGCGTTGGTTATGAAGAAAAGTAACCACTCAAGGCTTTGGAAAGGAATTGTTGATACTTGGCCTATCCTTAAACAGCAAGTTGTGTGGGACATTCGAGAAGGTCACAATGTCCAATTTTGGATGGATCCTTGGCTTGCCGAGGGAACGATCTTGAGTGAGCATATCATAGGCAATGGCGAGGGAATCAACTGGCATGCCACCGTTGCTGAGATGGTTACCATTGAAGGTGAGTGGAAGTGGGAGGATTTGGCGCCTCACCTGACTCAGAATTTGCTTGCCTTGATTGCAGGTACGGACCCTCCCAGGCCGGGATTGGGCGAAGACATTACTGCGTGGGGTATGGAGCCAGACGGAAAGTTCAAGCTGCGTTCAGCTTATTCCGCGGCTGTAGAATGGTTGAGCGACGAGGAGTGGGAGACGGAGGAGGCGAACAATCACCACCACTGGAAGCGACTCTGGAAATGGGCGGGCCCGAACCGTATTAAACATTTTTTGTGGTTGGTTTTTCATGACAGGCTAATGACGAATGCCCAGCGCAAGAGGAGGAAACTGACGACGGACGATACATGCCCGATGTGCAGAAACGGACCGGAAACTACCGAACACATTATGCGCCACTGTTCGGGTTCAATACAGGTATGGCATAGGTTGGGTATTCAGGAGACAACTCTAACTTGCGGCCTTGGGTTTGCAGATTGGTTTGATGAACATCTCAAGAGAGATCAAGAAGGGCTTTTGTTTGGAGTGGCAGCTTGGTATCTATGGAAAAGACGCAATGAGAAGGTCTTTCACAACCTGACCCAGGAGGATCAGGTCTTGGCGCAACGCATTGGATGTTGGACGTCAACTATCAGGCAAGCCCAGGAAAATGACACTGCTTCACATAAAGAAGCAACCAGGAAGACTACTCAAAAGCTCGCTTGGAGTCCGCCACCACAGGATTGGATGTGTGTCAATACCGACGGTTCAGAGAAGCAGCCAGGATCGGAAGCAGCAGGGGGTGGGATCATCCGGGACTGGATGGGGAAATGTATGGGTGCCTTTGTGGAAAACCTCGGTGTATGTACGATTACCCGAGCGGAGATTATGGCGGCCATTCGAGGCTTGCAAATGGCGTGGAAGAACGGGTACAGGAAAGTCCTCCTCCAATTGGATTCTACTACTGCCATCAACATCCTTACCTCGCAGGATCAAATAGAGCACAGGTACCATAATCTGGTTCTTCAGTTTCAGAGATTGCTTCAGCAGAACTGGGAAGTCAAAATTTCCCACATTTATAGAGAAGGTAACAAAGTGGCAGACTTTCTAGCTAATAAAGGCCACTCAGCTAGTATAGGTTTCCATATTTTTGAAAGTGCAGACCCGGGTCTGAACTTCTGGATTTTGTATGACGTTTTGGGGATTACCCAAAACCGGTTAATTTAAGTATCAGGCAGGGGCGCCCTTTTAGCGTCCCATTTTCTACCAAAAAAAGAAAAAAAAAGAGATAAACCCTTTTCTCATATCTTCCATGCAGTTGGTAATGACTTAGTAGAACCTAATACTACACCCATATACAAAAGCAACATTAACGTTCATACTATGCACAAAGCCACAAACTGGACTGTTCACTCTAGGTAGATGAGATTTCTTAAACAAATCACAAGAAAACTATAAGAAAAAGCGAGCAAGGAGCTTTCCTATATACTTAAATGAAATCATCTGCCTGTCCATTCAAGACCTAAGAAGACCAACAATAGCAAAAGTAAATAAATAAATAAATGCCTAACCTAGCCGCCTCATTTCTGCTTGAAAACTGTGACTGCTGGTTAGGGTTCTATGGGCAAGAGACCTTATGTCTTCCCGGGGACAGTCTCGCGAGATGCGAACCATTTCCCAAACAGCACCTCCGTTGATCATGTCTCTCGCATTTGCTTCTGTATATAATCCAGTTTCCAACATATTTTAATCTCCATAACTGATAAAGATCGGGGAAATGGAAGAAAAATGTTTTTGAAACTTACCATGCTGTGCTAAGTGGCACAATGCAAGTTCGATGTGGCGCCTAACTGAAGCGGCTTCGTTGTTAGCGTTTTGTACGATCCATGGAAGTGCTCCGTCTTCTATCAAAAGGGATCTTCCTGCCTTGACTCCTGCTATGACATGTGAATTAATTACATAGGCAGCCCTCTACAAGATATGGTTTCAATAGAGTGTGAAGTATCCTTGCAAAGTTTATTACCTTGAGCGGATGCCCTTGATTCACATTTGGCGAAATTAGCAATACCCCTGGCAACTTGTGAAAGAACATCTGGATGCCGGCATCTCACCATTCCAAGCAAGGCCTTGATACCACCTTCACCTCTCAACTTCATTTGCAATTTATCTGGATCATCAAACATAATAGTGCAACAAGTTCACATAAAAGAACCCAAAAAATGACCACTATTGAGAAAGCCAGACAAGATCTTTTTACCGTTGCCACAAAGGTTGGCGATGGCTCCAGCTACCATGCGAAGTGTTTGAGGATCCTCTGCACTGGAAGCGGTATTTGATAACAAGCGGACGCCACCTTGAGCCATTATCAACTCCTGGTTGGTTTCTGCTTGTAAAAAACTCAAAAGTGTTAACAATGGAGTATGTGGAAAAGAGCATCTGGAAAAACAATTCGATAGAATTCTGATTCAGAAGAACTTACCACTCATTGCAAGATTAGCGATGGCGCCTGCTGCCACTCGGTGTATGGTCTCATCTTCCGAACTTATGAGAAGCTTTAACAGAGATGTTAGGCCACCAGCTTCCACAATCTTCTCTTGGTTCGCTTCTGCTTTTATTAGTGCAAAACTCTCCATCAGTACAAGTACATAAATTAACAGAGAAATTACAACAGCATTACAAACTGGTGACATGGCAATTCCTTCTAAGATACCATGTTTAATAATTTCAGCTCGAAGGATGATGAGTACAAAAATAGTATTAACATTGCAGCAAATCCATGAACACTGAATTGAATCAGCAAAAAACCAGAACACCTGTCCTAAGCATTCTTTGCGTTTCCATTTTAAAATAGTGAAGAAACAAACTAATTCACTCAAAATATGCAGACTGTTATTAATCAGTCATTTACTGCACTACCATGTATCAATAACGTATTCCATAGTCGTTTGGGTCCGTAATTCCTAGTCAAGAAGCAAACAATCCCTCAAGATGAGAGAAGAAAGTGTGAGAGGACAAAGATACCTTCAGCCGCAAGATTTGCGACCACTTTCACTGCATGTATTCGAACATCAGCATCTTCCGCTTCAAGCAACGACAATATCTTGTGCAGTCCCACTTAAGCAAAGAGATTATGGTTTGGTAAGTAAACAAGTGAAGAAGATCCATAGTACTATCAAAGAACACAAGTAATCCCAAGTGGCTAGGTATATGACAATCACCTTGCTCAAATAGTTTAGCTACTGACTCTTTATCTCCCGTTTCTGAATTGTCACTCTGTGGTTGCCTGGATGGATGCAATAAAGAGTCTAAACCAGAAAGAACTTCCTCTGAACCACCCGAGTCAAGCTGCCTTCTTGTCTAAGAGAATCAAATGTCAATCAAGCTTTGAAAATAAAATTTCATCCAATCTCATATGAAACATGTTCAAGTTCAAAATCTACGACCATCTGCTGTTTTTGGTTATTTCGAAATCTCACCTCGTCAGCCTCTACACTCAGTTGAAGCAAGTGACTCTGCAGCTTTCCTATTTCCATTTCAAGTTTTTCTTTTTGGTGAGCTTCATCGTCAAGCATCTTGCGAAGCTTTACTATCTCGGAACTTTGTAAGGCCTGGAACAAAAAAGCGGATGGCTTGAAGGTTACACAAAATCGTTAAGGAAAATGTAAGGCTACAGAAATGGTCCACACTTACCTCTGACCTCCTCGATTCAGCCAACTGAGTCTTGAGAGTCCAGACTTCTTCTTCAACAGCCTTCCTGTGTGCAGTTTCCTTCTCCAGAAGCTTTTTCATCTCAGGATTCTCCTCCATGGGAGCAACCTTTGATTCCTATAAACCAATACAAATACAAGCACAAAAGAAGCTGAGTTGCTGCGCCACAATTTTGGGCAGAAAATCCAGTTTGAATGAGTAATAAACGCATCTTTATGTAAGACTCTAACTTGCACAGTGTCCATAATTTTAACCATCATGCATTGTATGCAATTCTCTCGCACCCGTAAATTCAGCTTTGAAATGTAGGTGGGTATGACAAGGGAGAAGTAACGGTGCATCTGTACGAATTTTCTTTTTACTGCTATAACAAGAATTGCTTTTCATTAACCACTGCAATGAGATAACACCAGCAGACTGCTGATCCAAGCACATACATAAAGACAGGTAAAAGAAACATGCCTTTAAAACTCATTTATTATGCATTTGGTTTCCTCTACTACGGAATGCACAGCATATACTAGTGTAAATGGTGGGAATCAAAGGCCAGCAACAAAATTCTATACTAGTTCTTAGAGTTATGCACCACAAGATCCTGTTATGAACTTACCTTTGCATTAGGCAGGACATTGGAACCAACATCTTTGTGTCGAAGCTTATTTTCATCATTCACACTTTTTCTTTGATTCATTATCCATTTCTCCTCTAGCTTTTTGATTGATTCCAAATACTCTTTCTGATATTTTGATCGTTCCTTCTGAAAACAGAAAACATAACAAGGCCAGTAAAGAACCAATGGAGATGATCCAAGTTAAAGGCAATACAACATGTTGATTGGAAGGTCACACGGGAGTGCACAATGCAACAGATATATTGACTGTTATGAAAAACTTGCCTCCAATGCTTGCACATAATTTCTTTCCGCATCAGAAAGTTGTCTTTCTGCTTCTGCAGTTAATCTCTCGATTTCATCCTCGAATATCTTTTGCTGCCTTTCATGTTCCGCAATAAGTTTGTCTAACTGTATATCTAATCTTCTAGACAAGCTTTTGTAATCAAATTCCTCTTTCAATTTCAGCATGTTCTCAACCTTCATTGCCTGCAAGAGACACCAAAACAAGGGAACATCATGACACCCTCATTGCATTCAGCTTCCATGTTTATAATGCTGAAAATCAAGCAGTTGAGTAGCGACTTTATTACCCTTTGACCAAACATTATGGTACTTGCTGTCTCGCCACGATGACGAGGGGAAGGACCAACTGTGATCACAAGAGAAGTCCGTGCAGTACCTGGTGAAGGTTGCCCAGTTGAGCAAAAAGAGGTTCCATTTAAAAAGTCTCTGACCCAAAATTCTTAAGAACAAATTACCAAAATGATGTCATGGAAACATGTAGTAGCTGGAGTTAAAAATGGGGTACTGTGCAACATGCAAAAGTGGCTTTAGTTCTCTGCATAATGGCATCTGTGTAGGACTTTTGAAATCCAGTAAGCATTAGATAGCTCCCTTCTTAGCCAGAATAATATACAAAGAATAAATGTAATGAAGCTGGGGTTTAAAAGATTCCTTGACCATTTTTCTTCTCAAACACTAAAACACTGCACATCGAATAGCAGTGGCAATATTGTGGCCTATGGAGCCCTCACACTTGTATTTGGTTTGGTTAATACGTCGGAAGCATTAAAGCAGCATGACCAAGTATCCCCTACTGCAATCATTATACCACGGCACAAACTAGACCACACATTAACTTGAGCTAGCAAGAACCTCTTACACGGTAGCTTTGACAATCGCACATAAGAAGATCCTACCTCCAAATGAATCTCGAAGCAACCTTGTAAGCTTTGAATCACGAACAGGAATATGCGGACTATTCTCTGCCAATGCATTAATGCACTTCCCAAGTGCACTCAGAGAAAGATTTATAGATTTTGCTTCCTCAAGTGTATGCCCTTCACTGCCTGCAATAATGAAATGAGTGGGGCACACTTCCGTGATGACAGAGCATTAACATATATATGCAAACAGTAACCCAAGAGAAGCTAAAGGAATGAATGGCTAAGAAGAACAAACTTCCGCATGGTCCACACAATGGATGACATTTAAAATAAATAACCTAAGGCAAAAAAGAAAAGGTTCATAGTGTGGCTAACCTCAGAAGAGGATTCAGCATGCAATGTACCTGATTTATGAATTCGCTCTGAACCTGCAAGATCAACTACAACTAGCTTTGCTTTGCGAACAACAGAAGGCTTTAGGCTTTTAACCGTCTGCAAGCTGCTACTGTTTTCGCTTGAAACGGTCGAATCCTTTCCCTTGACAGACCTCCTCAAATTTACCTATTCACATACAGTTTATTACAAATCCATGAAATAAATAAAGCATTAAGGGGTCGTTTGGAAGTTGTGTATCTTAAATCGTTGTATTGTTATGAATCACAACTTCCAAACGACCCCTAAGTTAATGCACAACAGATACTCCATGTAATACATCAAGCAGTTCACAGCACGTAAAATATCATTGAAAGTTGGAAGAAAAAAACAATCAATATTACCATCAGAATAGCATGGCTACGTGAAGATTCAGTATTCAATTTTGTATTTGCTGCAAAGCGGTGGTCTTCTCCTAACTTTAGAATCTCCAAAAAGCTATGATGATCCCTTATCTCCACCTGAGTAGCTCCGGGCAATGAAACATCCCCAGTTTTGTGGTCTTCCACAATGGAAATATTATCATTAGTAGGATCAAGAAGATCCTGTATAGTCTCCATATACAGCTGCAAGGGAAATAGGTTAATCAATAATGAGATTCTGTCAACAGATTATGTACAAGACAGTAATTACCAAGTAGGCTTAATACCATCAAGTCAACTTAATTTCGAAGCCACCAACCTGCATATACGAGACTGAGATAGAATCAGTCTCCAAAGAGACGCCTGCTAGTATATCCTCCATAGCACGAACCATTATGCCACGAGCAGCCATGTCCTCATCGCCAAGCTGCCCAACGGTATATGTTTTCCCTGTCCCGGTCTGCCCATATGCCATAACGGTCCCATTATATCCATCCAAGACGCTCTGCAAAGCCATTTCACGTCATTCACAGTCAGAGACCTGGAGACTAATAAAGCACGAACTACAAATGCAAGTATGAAATACCAGATAACGCACACATAAGGATCAATCATCTTATTACACTAAGCATGGAGTAAGAAGTATGCCGAGCAGAACATCACAAGAACATTCAATTATTACCATCTTCTGTCCAAATCAGTCACAATCTAAGTTAGGTGACATATGATTGAACCCCAATTATGCAAAGATAGGACAGTTGGGTCAGCTCTCCCAAAAAGCAAGAATTTGGTACCCGAAAAGCTTTGAAAAGTTCACTTATCAAGCAAACATCCCACAATATCACAACTGCAGCATTTTGCAAGCAACCCCCAACCTCTCAACCTCCTCCGTAAGTTCATTCTAGTACAGAACCCAAAATACGCCTTTCATGGGTTTCGGAAAACTTCATTCACAAAATGACAATCTCATTGTAGCAGTCGGATTCGGCTAGGATCCGTCAATTCATTACAGAGTCGGAGTTTCACGTGACGACAATTGGAAACGACGAAGGAAATAAATATAAAAAGAGAGACAGAGGAAGAAGTTACTTTTTGTTGTTTTCTCAATTACCTCAACGACGGGTTTCGCCACGACCTCGTAAACGCGTTTCTGGGAAGCAAATTCAGTGAGCACCTCATCGAACTCGTAAGTGTCGGAATCCCAATTGTTCTTCCGCAGCTTCAGCCTCTTCAACTGAGAAATTAGAAACAGGACATAATTTGTTAAAAATGAAGAAGGAAAGATCACAAACGGATTCAGAGTTCATTGATCAACTACGGAAGGAAATACCTCAGGCTGTAACTCGACGCAGTCGGCGAAATCAGCGTCGGCGACCATTTCCTCTGCATTCCGTGGACGAAGCCTCACCGCCACTCTGACTCTTCCCGGAACTAAATTAAACACCAGCATTCCCAAAACACAGTAAGAGAAGAAGACATCAAAATAGGAGATTCGGCAATTGAATCAGGGATAGCACCAGAGCTAACCAACCTCCGGCATCATCCTTGGAAGAAGAGGAAGCAGCTCCTCCGCCGCCGAGGGAACCGGGGGCGCTCTTCCGGACCCCGGTCTTGGACTTGACGGAGGAGTTCTTGGGGAAGTTTCGGCCGTTTGCGGCGCCGCCATTTCGGTAATTGGAAGCAGTCGTTGTAGTCCCGAAGGCCGAGGTCGCCATAGCTGCTGCGTCAGGAGTGAGGAGGGAGTGAGACTGTGAGAGCAGCGGGAGAGATCAGAAAGAGAGAAAGCGACAGTAGCAGCGAGTGGAATTCCGGTGAGAGGGAGAGTTCGTGAGAATTGAGAGGGAAGGAAGGTGGGGAAGAAGAAGAAGAAGAAGAAGAGGATCGTGTGAGATGTGGGGCGAGATTAAATCGGAGGAGGGGCAAAGGGAGAGATGAGAGTGGAGAGGGGGGCCTTTGCTTTCTGACATTTTTACATTATATTTATTTTATTATTAAATTGGTAATCATAATAGTATCTTATATGTGTTTGTGGATTTTGAATAATTAAGATTTAATCAAATCTTAAGGTGGAGTGGGGTCGTGGGTGGTATGTTCAAATTGATTCGTGGGCTGGCTATGTTTGGCGGTAAGTAACTCAATCCTAATTCCATCGACCGTTAATCACTTAGAGGTCGTTTGCTTGTTGGATTTGAAAAATGAGGGTTTTAGCCAACAAAAATTTTGGGATTTATTTTGGATTTATTGGATTATGAATTTGAATACTCTAATGTTTGCATGATAAATTTGATGATGGATTTGTTAAATAAATAACTAACCATCAAGGATTTGCAAATCACAAATCAAGATGTGGGATTTACAAGTCCGTGGGGTCCACGAACAAAATAAAGACCAAATCCGTGGACCCCACAGATTTAGCACCCTTCAACAAACAATGGACTTATGTTAAATCCACCAATCTTGGGATTTGGGTACCAAATCCATGACCTAAATCCAACAAGCAAACAACCCCTTAATGATGTGAGAAATATAAATTTTCTCTTGGGATTATTTTTATTTTATATTATTTTATAATTTAAATTTTTATAGAAAACTATATTAATTGTGTTTTTCAAAATGACATTCACTTTGATATTTTTTTAATAAGAAATTGAGAAATATATTAATAGTTTATAGTATGGTGGTAATATTTGGTAGTACATAAGATTATATCAATGGTATGAAAGTGAATCATGGTACTATGAATATATCATATTATATAATGATTGTATACATAATAGCAAGAACATAATAATCATCTTTTATAACATTTAATCACCATCTACCAACAGTTACCGCCCTGTACCATAGTGGTATATTTGGTTCTAAAAATTCCCTCGCCCTAAATTTGTAACTCACAATAGCTCACGATAAAATCTTCCTTATGTGCAACATTTTTTAAAATTCGAGTTAGAAACGAAAGTGATACTAAGTGGTATCAAATAGTAAAGAGGTGGTAACGAGTGATAATGGGTCGTACAATTTTTTTTTTCCTCAAAATATGTTGAAATGGATATCATTTTATAGATTTCAATGTACATGTTCCATCTACGCAAAAAAAAAAAAATCAAACTAAAAGATACAAGCCAATTAAAAAATAAAGAAAATAAGATATTTTTTCATTTCACTCATTAGATCTGACCACACTCAAAATCAAAAGGTCATATCCCATTATTCATTAGTGCATAACCTATGCACCCATCTCATGCTACTGCATGTAGGACGGGGCGAGACGTACAAAAGTGATGTGCATATGAACATGCCTCGTCCCATGCTACTACATATATATGATGTTAAACGCCCAACTCAAATTATATCAGATAAAATCCGATAGAACGAATTCAAATTGTCGTAGTAGCTGTAAGGGACTTCAACTTACTTGAGTCAAAAACACATCAAACTTTACTTTGATAGGGTACGCAGGAGATGGTTTGAAGTACTATTATATGTTTTCTGTTTTGACATCTGAATGAATGAATGAATGACTTGTATAATAACTAATAAGGCATTGATAGGTGATGGTCCATTTTGTCTTTATTGAACTTAATACACCGCTTAATCCAGAGGTTACTAGGCAATTAGGAAGCAGCTGGAGCTGGTTGTTGTTGGAAATTGACGGGAGACTATAGATGACTCATTCTTTTTCTTTTTATTTAGCGGAGTTCAAAGTGCTAAATGGTAATAGAGTATCTATGACTCGGTCTGTGCCACTGCCAGTCGATTTGGCTTTTTTATTGTTTTCTACTAGAGTGTCGGAGTTTGATTTTGCTACTCAAGATGTCTGTCATGTGAAATTTTGATCTTTGATTCATGATTAATTCAAGCGAGTTATTGGTCAAAACAAATATCATTATCCAAATTAAATTAAAATGATATTCATTATCATGCATATACAATTATACATCATGATGTTTTTGGATTTGAACTAGTTCTATAACAATTATGCATACATTTTATGGGGACGTGAGAGAGCATCAGCATCACCCTTTCAGCCAAGCAAAATGAGCATGATAATTAATCCACACTCATATACACCGTTTCCTCCCAGAAGGAACTCCAACATGTCACAGTTCATGAAAATATTAATAGGATGAGACGAGGGAGAGAAGGAGAAGTACCAAAACATAATAATAATAATATTCATGGTGTTGAAAGAAACTAGTCAATTTTCAGCTACCACGACAATGACATGATAAATGTAATGAAGCGCCATTACTCCAACAGAAGAAGAAGAAAAAAAGAAAATGGACGATGAGATGTGGCCAAGGCTTCCTATGCAATCAAATCATTCACTGGAAGGAATGAAGGAATTAATAAGGTCACCAAATGACCAATCCATACACGCATTTCCTAAACCAACTCCCCATCCTTCCCTGCCATCTCTCCATTCATTGACCAATATAATAACCAAACAAGAGCTGATTCTCAAATAAGGCCATTCTTCTAGGGTTTTGATTAGGAACATACATACTGGACACTTTTTTTTAATAAGGCCATTCTTTTGTTCACGTTCATCTTGTTAACAACAGAAGAGACCACCATATATGGCTGATTTCTTTTGCAACAATGATATTGTCGCTCAGGGATTGGTTTTCCTAGTATAGACAATCACCAACATGACCATTATCAATTATTTTACCTTTCGGCATATGTATATACGCACAGTGGCGAGGTCAGGAATTTGAATGAGAGGGGCTGACTTGAATCGTAATAATAGGGAGGAGGAGGGGCTAAAGCCTTATCGACTACTCTATATCCTAAATTTGTTACAATTTTTACATGTAATTTTACCTGTATTTCAAATTTTAGGGGGCTATATTCAGTCCTCCACTGTATAAGCAAAACATATTTCTAGAACAAAAATGGTATCACGATCTAACAATAAATCGGTAAATTCCGGATGGTAATAAAAACTACCAAAATGTGGACCATAAGTTAACAAATATACACTCAAACCTTTTTCCGTCAATCTGTTACGGCGATAGGTGTCCGAGCCCCTTAGTAATTAGAGAAAGAAAAAGGGTTTGAAAGTAGTGGCTTGAAGTTGTAAAAGTATAAATCACAATTAGGGATGGCAACAAAACCCGAACCCACGGGTACCCACCCGACCCAACCCGGTCAACGCGGGTAAAATTCGTGTTGACGGGTTTTGGGCCGGGTTTGGGTTTAAACCCGTTCACTATTCATCGGGTTGGGTTGGGTTTGGGTTTAGGTAAACCCGACCCATGGGTACCCGCCCACACCCATATAATTAATTTTCTCGGTATATTTAATATTCTAAACAACTAATCTTATTTATGTTTGTGGAGACATGTCTAATTTTTCTTTCTGATTGTGTAGAACGAAGTTGATGTTATCAAGTGGAGAGTGAAGAAACTTAATTGAAAGGAAGAAGTTTTCAATTAATCATGTTATTTATGGATAATTTATGATTTGGTTCAATTTTCTTGAGTTTTCTAGATTGGTGATGAACAATTTGTATAGTTAATTTGTGATTTGCTTGAATTTCTAGAATGGTGTTTTATATATGAATAATTTGTATTGAGAGATTGATATTTGGTTTTAATTTTGATAGGAACTTATTATTGTAATTTTATACGACAAAAACCCGTGGGTACCCATGAACCCGCGGATACCCGGCGGGTTGGGTTGGGTTTGAGTTTTTCAAACCCAGTGGGTTTTATCCCGGATTTTTTTCACGGATAAACCCATGGGTTTGAGTTTGGGTTTGGCAAAACCCGACCCAACCCGACCCATTGCCATCCCTAATCACAATGCACCAATCTTGAAAAGGATTCGGCAAAAGCAGCACAAGGCCGGAACAGGTAAAGGTGCTTACGGATGAAAGAACGAACGAAGAAAAGAAAGGGAGAAAGTAAACGCAACATCATTGATCTTTTCTTGCCACAAACATTTCGAATTCAAACACCCATGCCCCAGAAAGAACAGCCCAAAAATAAGTGGCAAGCCTAACAAGTAAAAATCCATGTCTTGATTCTTGTACACGTTTCACTCATGAAAAACCCTATAAAATTATAGTAATTGTTCTTACATAAATGAAGGAAAAAAGAGGGACATTATTTCCCATCTTTAAGAGATACATATGAGCGGAAAATACAATCGTTTTTGACTTTTTTCTCATATTTACATTTTGTATACATTCGCTCTAGCGACATATTTCAAATAAGGACAACATGCATATTTTTTTGCAGATATTAATTATTTAGTCACCATGTAATTAATTTCTTGTCCTCCAAGTCCCTTGTTTATTTGTCCTTGTAAAAAAAAAGAAACTTGGTTATCGTTAGGGTTTTAACCCTATTCTATTTTTATATAAGACTTAGCTACGAACCTGTCGTAAGCAAGCCGTCACAAATGTAGTCTCCAATAAAATCGTCAGTTGTGAGCTCTTTCGAGCTCATCGTGGATTAATCATGTTCACGTCGAACAGAGATACCACGTAAAACCTGCTGTAAGCAAGCTTCATAATGTCATCTACTCATCTTGCAAATATGATAGTTTAAAGTATCACTATTATTTTTATTACTCAATAAATTGCAATTCTACCATTCCTTTCACGATTTATAATATTTTCCTGTACTGTCTAATCATCTACTTTTCTTAATTCGACTAACGTGTTTGTATTGAACCTTCTCCATTCAAATTCAACCAACCTAAT